TGAATTGCACAATGTGGTAGGAGTATTAGATTTTGTTTTAATGTTTGACTATCGAACGGTTTCAATATTCTATCTACAGATAGATTTGGTTACTAGCGATAGGATTTTACATAAACACCATATTACTTACTTCGAAATTCTATTAGCATTAAACAAATGTATCTGTAGAAAAAATATTGAGATCGGCCGATAGAAGAATTATATATGTCTTCTAGCGTATTAATTCTGTCATTATGTTCCAAAGAGATTGCAGATGGGCTTATGATAAATTAAATATTATGATAAATATTCCCTTTTTTTGTCAATTACTAACTTGTGTATTAAAGTCCTTTATAGCATGGGAACATCCATTAAATGTTAAAAAGTATGAAACCCACCCAATAGACATCCATTAGGTGACAGTTGCTACACCAGCGCTTAAGAGAGTGAACGAAATGCGTAAACACTTTTACTTGGTCCTAATGTCTCCTGGTTGGTTCATAAAACCTTAAAAAAATTAAGAAGTAACTCAAATGCCTTTGTCAAGATCACAGGCATCCTAGATACTTGAACTGATAAATTTTAAGTGTTCCGGACCTCTTTAGTGCTAAAATTGATTCGGGTTTATGTCTACCGTCCTTAAACAAGGCTCACTTATCGGAAGTTAATAAAGCTTAATCTTTAAAATTTAAATGTTAGAAATCTGCCGAAGTGCACGCATAACTACTGAAGAGATTACTAATTAATTTTTGTTATTAAAATTTGTAGAAAAATGGCTATTCGCTGCTGCAATAATCGTACCTATGTCTTCTGGATTCGCGCCCAGACACTAAGTTAAACGGCTGATTGCCACATTGAAGAAAATCTCAACGTCATTTTCTAAGTTTCATTTATTAGACACTTGGCCCTTTTCTAAAAATATATTGAGATGTGAAAAAATATTTTTACAATTACTACGTGATCAGTGATCTGTGTTGTCTTACAGTGAGGGAGCGGAACAAGCGGTATAATTGTTAATGTAATAAGCTTAGTAGACGATGTCGAGGGTATTAGCTAATAATATATAAACGTAAGCGCTCTGCCTAATTCATTGGTTTAAAAAGAAGCGTACGCGCGTTTCAGTAAACAAAAGTAAATGAATTTTACGGAATGTATCAGGACATAGTCCGCCACGCGGCCCCACTGCGAACATCACGTATGCTCGAAATATTTTTTGTTATTATTTCGAAAATATGCAGGTTACCACACGATGGTTTCCTTCACCGTTCAGTTCATATTGAATTAAAGGCGAGCGCCCGGACACTGAGCTATCACGGCCACAACGGTACGTTTAACTATGCAATACGTAATCGCATACTTAAAAAAAGGAAGTCTTATGTATTGGATATTAAAAAAACGTACATTGAAAAGAACTCCGTCAAACGTGACACGGAGGGGTCCTAATTGGCCAAACGAATGCGATCACCGGACGATCCAGATGTTTAGGAGTGGGCGATCGCGGGGAATATTAATAATGGCCGTTTGTTCGGACGAGTTGATCGTTCTTCGTGGGGTCACTACACAGACGAAGCGTTTTCACCTGCGCAGCGCATCTGCGGCGAGAGGCCCTTTGCTGGTAAAAAACGACGGGGTTTATGGCTAAGTGACGTCATCAAAGCCTTTGATCTTAAGTTAACAGATGCTAATAATAATAAATTGTATGTTTTCACGACAGGACAGGACTTGGCAATATTTAACTGTAGCAAGCGGTGATTTTAGAGAAACGCCTAAATTCTGAAGACTAGATCGCTTCACCCCGAAAATAGATTAAAAACAGAATTATAAAATACAACCTTAAAAGACCCAAAAAACAGAAATCAACACAAGACTTTCTTTGTAACTTATAATGTTTAAAATATAGTATATTATTAATTATTACGTTATAACCGGGTTATATCTGCATGTGTATAAGTCATTATTAAACTTGTATTAATGAATCGTAACGACTAATCGTGTTTAATGACATGGAAACTTTTTCGGGCGTGTGTTTTCGTAATTAACACATTTCTACCCTTTAACTTAATCAATTATAGTTATTGATTAATTGTGAACATGTAATTTTTAAATTGTTAACTAGTATAAATGTGTTTCACAATATAAGTAAATTTTTATATATATACTTTAATAGTGGTGATAAGTTAGATCGTTAACTGTAACAAGATTAGTAAGATCATTACATAATGGCTTCGCGCTGGAGTGGTGAGGTTCGATTCCTACATAGAACAATTTTTTTTTGACGACCCCAATGGCGTCGTTGGTAGTGTACCTTACGGTGGTAGGGCCACGTAGCAGCCTCGGCTGTTGCACGAATGGGCAGGCCCGTCTGGGTAAGTACCACGACCTCACAGAAAACCAGCGTAAAGTGGAAGTATGACAAATACTTTCGCGTTTCGTCTGGTAAGTGAGGTAGCCGGAGCCCAATTTTCCAAAGGTTGTCATCACATCTGTAACCCTCGGGTGTAACAGATGTCCATGAGTGGCGGTATTCACTTACCATCAGGTGAACCGTCTGCTCGTTTGGCAGTTTGGCCTCCTGCGCTAGATGGTGTGGGTTGGATCCCCACTACTGGAAGAATATTGTGTGATGAACATAGTGTTTTTCTAGTGTTTGGGTGTTTATGTATGTATAATATGTATTTATTTACAAAAGAAAAGTATGTTTATCATTTATCTAGTACCCATAGTACAAGCGTTGCTTAGTTTGGGACTAGAGAACGTTGTGTAAAAATGTGTCCAAAAATTTTTATTATTATTTTTTTATTATTTGTGTATTCCACTATTGTTCTGGGTGCTTGTCCCCAAGGAAGTCTGATGTGAGGTCGTAGAAAGCCAATACCATTGACAACATGACTCACATGTTGTGCTTACTGGGCTAAGCAAGGGAGAAAGATGAAATGAAATCGTGATATAAATAAATAAATATTTAATAAATATTTTCGGACACATTTGTACACAAACGTGCTCTAGTCCCAAACTAAGCAACACATGTACTATGGCTACTGAACATACACAAACATACTTAAACATACTTTTCTTTGTAAATAAATACATATTATACTTATATAAACACCCAGAGCCGTGATAGCTCAGTGTCCGGGCGCTCGCCTTTAATTCAATATACTCGAGCAACCTGAGTTCGATCCCCGGTGCCGGCACCAATGAAGTTTTTAACTTTAAGTGCTGACTTATCACGTGCTCCGCGGTGAAGGAAAACATCGTGAGGAAACCTGCATATTTTCGAAATAATAACAAAAAAAAATATTTTTCGAAGATATGTGAAGTCCGCAGTGGGGCCGCGTGGTGGACTATGCCCTGATACCCTCTGTATAGAGGAGGCCTTTGCCCAGCAGTGGGACATGTATAGGCTGTTACTTTACTTTACTTTTTTACTTTAAACACCCAGAGGAAAAGCACTATGTTCATCACACAATATCTATCCAATAGTGGGGATCGAACCCACACCCTGAAGCAAGAGGCGGGTTCACTCCCCACTACGCCAATCGGGTCGTCTTGCAAAGCCTTCACATGCAAACCTATCTTTGTTATCCTATACCTACTTTAAAATTTCGACGCATTCGTACCGTAAATCGGAACGACGGGTAATTACTTTGTCTCCGCTTCAGAGGTGCAGGCGCACAACGAAGACAAAGCCGCTCTCTCGCTCCGGGCCCGGACAAATGCGGGCCCATTTACAAGAGTGTAAGATATGACGTGATATAGATCACTCACTCCGTAATAAATAAATAAATAACATAAGAAAAATTACACCGTAAAACGAATGTTACCGGAGGCGCTTCGGTCCGTTTCGATTAGGGTGGACCTGACGCGTCGACGTTAAAAATTCAATAAGAAATTTATAGTCGTATTTGTTAGTCTAAGTTAAGCCTAGTCCATAATAAATTGCATAATAAGGAATAACACTCAGGGTTAACCGTTAATTTGTTAGCAATAACAATTGTTCTAATTTTAGATGGATTGACATCTTAAAGGACGATTCTTAATGCAAAAGATTATACAAGTTGCATGACAGTTTAAGAAAGAGTCCGTAGACTTTGTTTTCATTGATATTGCGTGTTCTATGTCGGTGGTTGGTTTGATTTACATCATATCTGTTGCACGACAGCTTGACAGAGGAAGTACCACGGAGTCGTAGAATTACTTACACTTTTACTTTACAGAGAGACAAAATTACTTACACTTTTACTGAGACGGTGGGGTATTGAAAGGGGGGTAAACGACAGCCCATGCTAGCAGTGGTTAGAAACAGGCCTGCACAATATCTGGTTTGTGATGCGTGGGTGGCGATTTTCACTTACCAGGTGTGGTGTTCACCCCGAAGTATTCCGATTCCACTATCCAATAGGGTCCAGGTCCACTGTTGTAAGGCATCTGTTACGGCATGAGGTAGGTATTGAACCGTCTACGTCTGCTACCTTCTCACGTAAAATAGTATCGGTATAAGTTATACAAAAAGGATCAGACACGTTTGTGTGTCTGAATAGATACAGTGTCTGTATAGCGATTATGTCGATAACATATCCATGAGTTTCTTTCGTGTAAGCGACGGGCGCGAGGGAGCGACAGGGACGGATGATTTAGAAACCCCTCGGGAGAGGCGCGACGCGACCCGATATTAATATTGTGACTCTTCGCAGTACACCCCCAAAACGAACATGAAACGTTATTGAATTGGGACAGGAACCACTTCTTGTCGGAAAACTCATTATTTTTCGTGGGTCTTTGTATGATAACCGATGATCCATGCGATTAAAATCCGAGCGAACTGAGTCACAGGCTGTAGCTAGTATCTTGCCACGCGTAGCTTCTTAGAAGCGGGTAGTGACAGATACGTTATTTTGCTAAGCGGGATGCAATTATACGAAGGAATAACGGCGGATAATTGTAGTAAATGTGATATGGTTGAAATAGCGCGTCATAAAATCTAACGACATATGAAAAGAGCCGTTGTTAATGATCAAAAAATGTCGACCAATGTGATCAAAAAGGACTACCCAATTGGCGTAGTGGGTGGTGACCCTGAGTCTTGCGCCAGAGGGTGCGGGTTCGATTCCCACAACTGGAAAAATATTGTGTGATTAATATGAAAAAGATGGAAAAATTTATTTTATTTTAATTTATTAAAACAATCGATTTATTATTCCACCAAACAATGGTCATGAACACAGTTTTCAAGCATTATTGATAGCAAACCTCTTTCAACAGTAACTAATTTGTGCGCAGAAGCATCTCGACTTTGCGGGTGTGCACTGAAATTTCGATCAGTCCTACCCGTCGCTACATTTCGGTATCTGTCGCGTCGCACCTCCAGCCAAATTGGTATCGAAATTTCAAATTCAAATTCCCGTTTCCACGCGTGCCCCGCGGCGGCGACTGCTTCGGACCCCTAATTGGTCCTTTGGTGGTTCCGTGGTACGGTTTGATGCAGGCCTTTGATGTGGTCTCATGGGCGGTGAGTCCCACAGAGTACAAGATTAGCCGCGCGCAATTCAATACCCTAATCCGGCTTAGGGAACAGCAATAGATTCGAATGCGAGGCCGATTCAAGGCCAAGTGCGAGACGGATTCGCGCACGAAGGGTTCCGTACCATTACTTATAAAAACGGCAAAAAATCATGTCTGTTGTATGGGGGCACCACTTAAATATTTTTTGTTCTGTTTTTTTAGTATTTGTTGTTATAGCGGCAACAGAAATACATCATCTGTGAAAATTTCAACTGTTTAACTATCACGATGGTTCATAAGATACAGCCTGGTGACAGACGGGCAGACGGCCTTGTGGAGTCTTAGTAATAGGGTTCCGCTTTACCCTATGGGTACGGAACCATAAAAACTAACCGATTGCTTTAATTTAGTCGTCATAATGATGTATAATCGTAGGTGGTACAGCTTATACTTTGATAGATCTACGCAGTTTATTCTGCTGCATGGATTTTCAAGAGTAGCTACGGAAGCAGCACTGCTTCTAGAAAGGCTTTAAATGGAAGTGTTTTCTCGACGAGTAAGCTATCCTGAGGCTTAGAAAAACTGTTGCCATGTTGCAGAAGATGGTAATCAGGAGAGTTACCCTCATAATTCGTTTGCACCCACTCTAACATGCTCTTGCCTTGAATTAAAAAGAATATACCTATATATTTGCTCACCGCACGTCAGATTCCTTGTTTGTTAGAAGAACGAAACGTGCTGGCTGAAAATATCGTTTTCGAATGTTCAACCCCGCCAACTTTTGGACCGTTGAAAAGTTTAATTCGCATTTCTTTCTGTCTGAACCAATAAAGTAATGATTGAAATAATTTATCAGATCCTTTGTAAATTTCCATTTAGTATTAAAAAAAATTATACGGTAACCCGATAGAAATGCATCAAAGATGTACACTACATCCTTTATTTAGTATTCATCCTTTATACAGTCATGACTCACCAAATCAAAAGAATGTGTAGGCTTCAGCTACATACCTTCAATAAATAAAAAACAATAATCTGCGTAATACAGGCGTGGTTTTATTACAATTCGTGCCACATTAAAATTGGCACCGATGACGTATTTCATCGCGCTAAATTCCAATACCGCTGGAAAGGTCCGAAACACTGCTTTTACCCGACTGCGCCGGAAGGAGGGTTATGTTTTTCGAGAGAATGTATGTATGTTTGTATGTATAATTGTTTGGCACTCTTTGCAGCCTGAACGGCTTGATGGATTTTAACCTGAGAGGTGTCGTTACATTCGTATTTACTGTTGGATCGACACTGGGTATAAGAAAATAAAAAATTATACAAAAAATGCAGTCGGGTTTTTTAGTTTTTTAAATTACTTATATTCCACTTGTTTCCGCCCAATATTCCGGTTCCAGTTAGAAACGAAACACCTAGCCAATTGAGTTGAGCGAGGTAAACAAAATCAGAAATTATCAGTGTATTAGGAGCACTTCCTAATTGGGGCGAGTAGGGGGCGCGCCGGTTATTCCGGCCTCTTGTTTCATTCAAAAATGCTCCTATCATTTCCCACGGGAGGGCGGGAAGGTCGCGAATTTCATAATACAATATTTACCGGTCGCCGAATATTGGATAATTAGATCGCGACGTGATTTGCTACGGGAAGGCGGAATTAATATCAATGTTCCTTGTTCTACGCAACTAGTGGTGCGAGGCCGTTTGTTTTTCGTAACTGTTATCGATAAATGGATATTGACAGATTTTATTTAATATGGACTGGTAAAAAACTTCGTTGCATATACACCTAACAGATTTATCGTCTAATAGAAAATAAAGGGTTGTAGGTTTAACATAATGCTAAATGCATATTAACATATAATGCTAAATGGATTACATGTTCATTTAATTTGTAATTATATCATTTAATTAGTAATTACATGTTTAAAGTTTGTAAATGTATGTAGGAAGCTCTATTTTATGACATCAAATTAAAAAGCGTCAATACGTTAAATTACAAATATATATTTTAATTACAAATTCGTAATGGTAGTAAGCTTTATTAAAATAAGGTTAACGAACTAAAAGCTTAAGTAATAGACAATTAATAATAATATCGGTAAATTTTTATTTTTAGTCTCGAAGAACATCACTAGAGGGCTAAGTAAGAAAATGAAGACAAATGCTGAAACGTCGTGCTTGGGGGTGCCCCGGGTTCGATCTCGGGTGTGGCGTGACAAACAATCCATGACATAGATAACTTTCAGAGCCACCTCCGCAATTTCATCCCGGCAACGGCATAAATCATAAGCAATTGGATCATCGTTTCGGTATTAAATAGAATTCGTTTCTCTTTTGCAAACTTTATTAATAAAGTACCGAAATCATGATCGATATTTACAGTTCATGGTTTTACCTTTTTTAAAGTTATAATTTAAAATTTGACTTAAAATATTAATCATTACATTGTGGGTCATGAAATAAATTTACGAGACAACAAATAAATTTAACAGACGCAATCGAGTAACGCAACCAAGTGATACGGAAGGTGATTACCTATACGCGGTGAAGAGTTTGAATTTCAGTGTTTTGGTGTAACCAAAATTTGGATTACTACCCAGTAACTAGAACTAGACTGTCCTAAAAACTACAGAAACTAGAATATCCACTCTTTAAATGAAAAGCTCAAAATATTTGGGACTGAAATTGGGAAATAATGAATTACATCGCCCACTTGACACATGCGTCAATGTCTGATATCTGAGATAACTTTAATCTAACTTCGGTGGTGCGCAACAGATTCATTGTTGCACGAAATGGCAGGTCCGTCCGGGGAAGTACCACAAGCTTACAAAAGACTGGCGTGAAGTGGAAGTACCTATAATACTTTCGAGTTTCGTCTGGTGAGTGAGGCAGCAGGGGACCACTTTTTACAAGGTTGTCAATGCATCTACAAACCAGCAGATGCCCATGGGTGGCGGTATTCACTTAAAATCAGGTCTATCGCAACATATCTACAAACCCTCGGGTGTAGCAGATGCTCATGGGCGGCGGTATTCACTTACAATCAGGTCAGCTACCTAGCTTGATAACTTTTCACATAAAAAAATATATGCACATACATACTTCTTTTATGGTCGAATGTGATAAATAAGCATGCTTCTATAGCGATGCTTAGGGATCAGCACAACCCAGATCACGTTTAGAAAGCATGAAGAGTTTCGATAGCGCTGCCTTAAAGTTAAGGATAGGCCCTCATCTGGAAGATCCTTTAGTCATACCTGCAAAAACACTGTCGACACAAAGTAGTTTTGTGTTGCAGAGATAAACATTACGATAATATGTATTTACTAGCGATCGCACAATCAAAGGAGGTCATAACCGAAATTTCATGTTGGAAAAAAGACATCTGTGTAACTTCGTATGTATAATTAAACTAACTTACTTGCTTAATTAATGTTAATAAGATGACACGGATAACTATCAGCAACAGTTTACGTAGATGTTATCGTTAAGTTTAAATGCGTTTCAATTGTTGAGTTCGAACGATCCGCCGTATTTTAACGCCCTGTGCCCTCGACATAATAAGCAGGGAAATGAAAACTCTTGTGCTAATTATCTAGGAGGAACACTCGAGCCGCGCCTGGCACAATGCGACACCGCCTGTGCCGACCCGCTAATCGCACGAAACAACTTTAGCTAACTATTCAATGACCTCTGCATTGCCTAGACCTCCCACGCTATTGAAATAAAAAAAAACTATTTCCACGACTTTTAACTTAGGGGCAATTACTGTGGAGTATATGTGTCGCGTTTCAGGTTCAAGGTGATGATGATGATGATGACGTAGGAAGTGAGGAAGCCAGAGAAATAAATGAATTAGGGAAAAGTCGATGTAAATTTAAAAGCGACGTTACATTGAAAATTTAGCTTCACAGCTACTTATTCCTCAGCCTATAAGATAGAAATTGTAATTTTACAATGTCGGCCGTTTTTCTTTTGATCAAAAAATGGGAAATGTCCGATTTGTCGTTGTCGTTTGTCTGTTGGTGTTTAAATGTTTAGAAATGAAATGCACCCAGACTCAGAAACCCTTTTTGTAAGCTTCATAATTTTAACTGGTCTAGAGAACGAACCATTCCAACAATGTCGACAGCTCTGCAAACCGGTCTATCGGTATTTAACTCTGTTGCCTTTCCTAAGAGTCCATCGCTGTCCCTGTAACTTAGTTCGAATCAATTACAAAAGTTTGACGAGTTTCTCGAACGTTGATTGCATCGTAATCTAAGTCTTTATCGCGCACATGTGTATGCTTTACGAAATGTGTGTATTTTTAGAATAGATAACGGTGGATCTTAGATATGCAATACAAAAAATATACCTACGCTACTGTACGATATGCTCATACTGATTGACTCATTGTCCGGGCGCTTGCATTTAATTGTACTTGAGCAACCTGAGTTCGATCCCCGGTGCCGGTACCAATGAAATTGTTAATTTAATATAAGTGCTGACTTATCACGTGCTCAGTGGTGGGAAAACATTGTGAGGAAACCTGTATATTTTCGAAATAATAACAAAAAAAAATATTTTGAAGATATGTGAAGTCCGTCAATCCGCAGTGTGGCCGCGTGGTAGACTATGGCCTGATACTCTCTGTAAAGAGGAACTTTGCCCAGCAGTGGGACATGTGTAGGCTTTTCTTTTTACTTTTACCCTACTGGGATGGCTAATTTCATTAATTCGGTAGCAGTAACAGCTCTTGCTGCACGGGTTCGCTGTATTAATTTTGTTCACTCATTTCGTCGCTCTGACGTCCCACGGCTTCACAGCTTACCCTAGACCCCACTCATTACTTGACTACAGGCCTGCAACGTGCTACGTGTACGGTTAACCTCATTTCCATGTATAATCCGGTGAACCTTATACTCACATTCCATCGAATTTCATCGGCTTATCAAATTTACACTTTGCACACATATTTGAATAGTCACTAGATCCACCTCTTCCCTTAAAACCTCACAAATATGATAATTAATGACGTTAGCATTGACAGGTTAAAGAGTTAAGTATTTAACTGATTCAAAGTAC